TTGGCCTAACAAAGCAAATTGAATGATAGTACTCTTTTAACTTTCACCGAATGAACTTAATATAGTTATTCCAAATCTAGTATCTATCAGGACAATAGAAGTACAAATTCAAAATAAATAGATTTTTATCCTAGCATAGACACATTTGTACACACACACACACACACAAAAAGAAGAAGAAGAAGCAGAAGATTAACATTTTCACTTTACACACTTTCTTGATTTCTAGTCCATACTGCAGTCCTTGCCTTCTTTGGATAGTTCCTTGCCACCCTAGTTGCAATCGGTATCAGCATCGTAAGAGGGAGGAAATAATAGTAAAGAAAATCCACAACTTGTCATTCGATGTAATGGCAGCCATACAAGTATCAGATTTTACTATGAGTGCAAACATTCCAATTTGCAAAGGGAATCCTCTTGTGAGGCAATAGATCATTTGAAGAGAGGTAAAAAACCCAATTGAGTTGAATAGAATTAACAAACCATAAGTTACCCAATTTTTAGAACCCATGATTGCTTGTCCTGCCTTATGTGGTTTAGAAACATTGTTGTTGCTATTGTTATTGCTGGACATAGAATCATCGGCCCACACACTGCCTGGAGGACTACGTACGGTTTGATAAGTTGTTGTTGTGATAAGTACAACTATCACAAGCATGGTGTGTCGTGCTTCACTTGGTGAATCTCTATCTATGTTGTATTTGAAATAGTCTAACAACCGTTTAGCAGGAGATTGAGGCTGATGATTCGGTGTTGATTGGTCACTGTAGACGCGTCCGAACGTCCCGGGAAAAACCCGTTTTGTTCATTGGGCTCACTACAGTTCGGACTCAATGTCACGGTAATGCAATGCGAGATTGATAAATCACCAAAGAGTCCAAATCCGCCAAATTGTTTTGAAAAACTGATTTTTACAAAGAAGTGCCAACACATGGACTGCTTTTCCAGATACAGAGTCGCCACCTAAATATTTTATTTTTGAAAAATTTAGGAAACCCTGACTCATGCCTAAGGCCACGTGTCCGTCATCACCAAAGTTGCCTCGGCTCGAGAACTTGGGTACGAGAGGGGAAGGCCATGCAATGAGCACCCCCGCTCGCCCGATCAAGGATCAACCTTTACTAACATGATATCTTATTTTTGAAAACACATGTGCTCTTATTCCGGTTATTAACCTAGAATTACTATGTGATGCGCACAGCATAAAATTATAGACTGGATCGCCTAAGTTGGAACAAAGCATCTCATGTTTGTTTTTTAAAGCAGTTTGCTACTCGCTAGTAGGCTAAAATGCGGATTTTGCCACCCTCAAGTGGGCTTCAGAAAACATGATGATTTGCCACTCTCAAGTGGGCTTAAAACTCGCAATCAACGAATTGTTCCAATTCAAGTAATCCAACCTTCACCCACAGGTATTCAGGCAATTACATCACATAAGCAGTTAGCCTCATGGCAAGCATGCTATCATGGTAGTCACTCACACACATGCAAGGATGCTAAAGCATAAACACTTACCAAGTACTCCGAGCCAAACAAAAACTATGTCAGAAATCAATGCATGATCCTAGCTATGTCAAGAATGCCTAATGCAACACATACAAAATGCAACTAAGATAGGCTCGGCTATTCTAAAAAGTCATGTGAAATGCAATTTGATACATGTATTCAAACAGGAATTGAAATACAATGCAGTTAGCATGATGCACCGAGCCCGGTGCATGCAGGACAGATGAATGGATGCAAACATGCGAGCATAAGGATGCTAATTGAAACATGCCCTAAAACTAACCACCGTCAGCTGGCAAATAAAAGGGAGAAAGAAATGGGGGTTGGAAGATATGCATCACACACACGCACACTTATTTACAATAGTTGTGCCCTCTCGACGAAGGGTCCGAATGAATAATACAGAACCAACTACCTAATCTAAGCTAATCTAATTAAACTAGTTATTACACAACAGAATGAATAACAAGCTACAACTAATTATTACACAACACTAACTAGTTAACAAATCAACTAAATTAGCAATTAAATAAGCATGCAAACTATGTGATGTAGGCTGCCTCGGCTTTGCTTTGGATGACAAAGGATGCATGCATGCTCGAGTCGCCTTGTTCAGAAATCCCTCACGACGTCCCGATTTGCCTCTATTTGCAATTGATCTCAGAAACTTGCACCAAGCTCTAGAGAGATGAAACTCCACCTTAGGAATCTGTAGGGATGCTGCAGATCAGATATTGGCCTTGGAGACCACCTGCCGACCACTTTTTGTGGTGAAAACTAGAAAAGTGGTCGGCCAGCCACTTTATCTAGTCGGCCGACCAGTTTTTGCTGCTGGTTTCTAGTTTTCTGCAACAGAGGGCAAGAAAGGGGCATGTCGAAGTATTTGCAACACATGTATGCGCGACCACCCTCCCTATCATTACAAAAGCTCAAGGGAGTATAGTTCTCGATCCTCGGGCCATCAATCACGTATCTTGACGCATGATGGCTAAGGAGCTTAGTTGCGCAACTCAATATGAAATGAATGCACATATGAACACGTAAAGCCTAAAACTCCATCATGTATAGTCAAGAGTGTCGGCGACCAAAAATTGAGGTACGTTTCATCACTTCAAGTATGAAACGCCCCTCGTTTCCCGTGTTTGGACTAACGTCTATTCCAAACACAATGCAACAAACATGGCATGCACAATGCAACTCAATCATGCAACTTAATGTAACACAACTTGGACATGCAAGCATGCAAGGGACGATCATGCAAACATGCAAACTAGCATACACGATGCTATGAACTATATGGCATACACAACGCTCATGACACTAACATACACAATGCACGTGGTAACCAACATTCATAATGCAATGAAAATGGCATGCACAAGTGCAATGATCATTCGTGTAACATGGCATGCTCAATGCTACGAACTACATGACATACTCCATGCGCAATGGACTTGAACCGAAATGAATAGGCCTCAGCCATGTCCAAATCAGCGGCCATAACACCAAGACTAAGGCATCCAAAGGCAAGACACACATGCACACATATTGGTCCACAAGCTAGGCAACAAGAGCACAACCCTTAGGGGCACTCAAGAGGTGACAAAAAGTGGGAGCATGGCAAGTCTATATGCTCTGAAATTACATGCAAAGTGAAGCCATATCATGGAAATAGCTCAAATAAATCATGCCAAGAGACTTGAAATACAAAGCTAGACAAGGGCTTTACACTATAACCATACCAAGCAATGCTCAAATGACCTAAAGCACTCAAAACAGACCTAATGCAGGTCAAAACAGTGGCTGAAATGGACTAAAATGATAGCATGCTAAGCAAGAAAAAACATGCCCAAATGATGGCTCGCAAGCAAGGCACAAAGCTCAACTCTCAAATACAATTAAAGAGTGATAAACATGAGAGTATGGAAAAGATATAAGCTCTCAAATTCCATGCCAAATGATGCCAAGGTATGAAAACATCACAAATATAGCATGCTAGGGACCTCAAAACTCAAGACTAGCCAAAGCATTTGCACTATAACTATACAAAACATGAGTGATATGACCATGGCAGCCCAAAACAGTCCTAGAACAGCCCAAAATATGAATAAAATCATGTTGGAGCATAGCCAAAATATGCTAGAATGATGAGCCAAAACAACATGCATACAAAGCTAGTAAGCAAGATTTATACTACAAGTACATGAAGCATGCAAAAGGCTATCAAACCAACTTTAGACAGAGTTATGACATGCTAAATAATGACCAAAAACCTACTGAAATGGAGCCCATACATGCTAGAAAGACATGCTACTTTGATGAGCCACAAATGGGATTGCACTACACATACAAGAAGCATGAAAAATGTGACAAAATCAGCCATGGACAGAGTCAAGGAAGGTCCTAGAAGTCACAAAAAAGTACCTGAGCCAAGCCTCAAAATAGTAGAAACACATGCTCCTTTGATAGGCCAATAATGCAAGCAAACAAAACAATAAGAGAGGGGATCATCCATCTCTGATTTAGGACCTCAAAACCACATGCCAACCATTAAAAATCCACTGGATTTCAGTGGTTAAAAGGCCAAGCAAGGACTAGCTTGAAGGCATTAAGGCATGGCACAAAAAAAGGCCAAATAAGGCATGCAAGAGGGTAGAAGACCCTCAACACCCAAGAGGCCTTAAACAAACATCACAAGGACTGAAAAACAGAACTTTTTCTAGTATAAAGTTAAGCTCAAATCATCATGCAAATATGGCTAGGAGAGTAACCAAAAACAAAGCTTAAAGAG